AAAAGAAATGTGAAAATAAATAATAAAAAACAAATCTGTGGTCCTTGTGCATTCGTGGGACATCATTGTGTGAGAGACAGGTTTCAAGGGAGAGTACATTTCCGTGTTCATGGTGTCAACCATGGGAGAAGAGAGACTATGTAAGGGCAGTAAATTATCACCTTTCACAATGGAAAGTTAACACAGAGTCTTTAAAAAGACTATATTGAGAATATATTGAGAAATGAAATGAAGATACATTCTTTAAATTTATAAGGATTAGCATTAGTAGGACTAATATAAATAAACTGTTTAACATATTTACCTCTGGGGAGTAGGAAAGTGTGATGAATTTACTTTTAACTTTAGGTTATTTAGTATGATTTAATTTTCTGTTTATTTTTAATAATGTACAGGTATTAATTTAAAATTGCAGTTTAAAAGAAAGGCATCCACATCAACAGGGAATTTGTTATATAAATTTAGTATAGCTATACAATAGAATACTATGGTGTCACTGGAAAGAATGAGGTAGGATCCTATGAAAAGATAATAAAACAATAAAGATAATAAAAACAATGAAAATAGCTAAAACATTTATTAAGAACATTCTTTATTTCAGTAACTGTTTTAACCTATGCCTGTTCTCATTTAATAAACTCCCAACTGCTCTATGAGAAATCTCAGACACAGAAAGGCTAAGTAAATTGCCCAAGGTCACATAGGTAGCAAATGGCAAAGCCTGGATTAAAACTCAGGGAGTTTGGCTCAACAGCGTATATTTTTAAATACTATAGTTTGCTATTTGAATAACAAGCAAAAAAGTAATTGCAAAACAACATATTTTTAGAAACCGTGTGTGTGTGTGCAGGAGGTAGAGGGTTTGCAGAATGTGGAGGGTATGTGTATAGTGAGCATGGTGTGTGAGGTTATCTGTGTTTGTGTATGTGTGCATGTATGTACAAGTGGCATGAGCATATAGAATATGGCAAGTTATACATCAAAGTGTTGTGGATGACATGAGAGGAAATCAATGTTTTATTCTCCACATTTTTGTGGTGTTCCTTTTTTTCTCTAACCTTATTTTGTAATAAAATAATTAATAGTATCTTTAAAGATGCCACAAATCTTAAACCAAGTAATCCCATTTCTAGGAACTGATTTTAAGAAAAAAATACATACAAAGGTGCATATACAAAAATTAATCATGCTCTTCATTTCTTAAGTGTGAGCTGTACAGAATGACTTTCTTCCAATGAGTACAGTATGGAATGGCAGAGAAAAGAGGAATTTTACAGTGGAGAAACCATACAGTACCACTTCAGCCAGGTGATCAGTCATAAATTACTATGATAACATGTACCCTTGGTATGATATGGTAAGAATGGCACTTTACCTCTGTAATCTTTCTTTCAAGAGTGCAACCCCAGTTCAATCGTGAGAAAGACATCAGACATCCCAATAGAGGGACATTCTACAAAATGTCTGACCAGTACTCCTCAGACTGTCAAGGTCATCAAAACCAGGGAAAGTCTGAGAACCTATCACTCTCTAAAGCAGCATAATGAGAATCTTATGCGTATGTAATATGGTATTCTGAATGGGATCCTGGAAAGAAAAAGAATATTAGGGAAAAACTAAGCAAATCTGAATAAAATAGGAACTTTTGTTAATAAAAATGTATTACTATTGGTTCATTAATTATAACATATGTACCATTCTAATGTAAGATGATAATAATACAGGTAATTGTGGGGTATATGTACTATTTTTGCAATTTTTCTGTAACTATAAAACTGTTCTAAAAATAAAGTTTATTTAAAAATTGATCACATCATTATTTATAATAGCAAAAATAAATAAGAAGATAAATAAAAGGAGCAAGCCAAATGCATAAGAATCAAGAAGTGGCAGAATAAATGTTGGAATATCCATATGATAGAATACAATGCAACCATTTAAAACCACACCATGGAAGAGCCATCATTAATATTGGAAAAAAAATATATTGTCAAGTGTAAAATTTAGGCTACAGAATAGTATATATATTCTGAAAAAATGTCTGCATATAAGAGCAGAGGAAAAGTTATTAAATACAAACAGATAATTATGAACGGTTGTTCTTTTAGGGTATTGAGATTATGGACATTTATTTTCCTTTTGTGTTTTTCTGTGTTTTCCAAATTATCTTCACTGAACATATTTTACATTTGAAAAAAAGGTAAGTGTTTATAAAAATATATCAAAGTCAGTTTGGAAAAATATATAAACCCCTATATCATACCATACATAAAATATAAACTCAAAATACCTCACAGACCATAAAAGCTAGCTAGAAGATAATATAGAAAAAAATCTTCATGACTATGGATTAGGCAAAGGTTTCTTAGGCATATTAAGGATGTATAAAGTACTATCCATAAAATAAAAGGAAAATGGTAAATTGGATTTCATCAAAATTTTAAAACATCTGTTATTTGAAAAACATTGTTAATAAAATGAAAAAGACAAGCTATGAAGGGGATAAATATGTATAGTGTATATCTGACAAAAGACTTTTATCAGTATATATAAAAAAATTATACAACTAAACAAAAAGGTAGACAAGGAACCCAATTACAAACTAACAGACACTTCATCTAAGAAAATATATGGATGAACAATTGATATATGAAAATGTGTTAAGAATTTATTTATTGGGGAAATGTCAACTTGAAACTACAATGAGATACCACTAAACAACACTAGAATGAATAAAATAAAAACAAACTGGTAGTACTTAGTCTTGGTAAGGATATGAAGCAACTGGAAAGCTCATTCATTTGATCATAGGAGTCTAAAATGTCACAACCACTTTGGAAAATAATTATGACATTTGTTATAAAGTTAAGAATGCACTTACCCTATGACTTGGCAATTGCAGTCTTAGATATTTACCCAAGAGAAATGCAAACATATCTCCATACAATAACTTGTAAGTGAATGTTCATGGCAACTTTATTAATAATACCCCAAATCTGGGAATAATCAAATGTTCATGAACAGGGAAATATAAAAATAATTTGTGACATAACCACATATAATGTACTACTCAGCAATTAAAAAAGTATGAACTACTAACACATACAACAGCATGAATGATACTTAAAAACATTTATGCTAAATGAAAGAAGACAGATGCCAGAGTACACACAGGTATGACTTTGATTTATATTATAGTCTCTAAGAGGTAAAATTAATATAGAATGATAGAAAACATATTAGTTTTTGCCTGGGGTAGGAGATGGGGTACTGATTGCAAAGTATCTTGAGGGAAGTTTTAGGGTTGATGAAAATGTTCTAAATCATGAAAAAGATGGTAGTTACATGGGTAAATACATTTGTGAAAACACATCAAACTATCTTTAAAATGGGCGTGCTCTATTTGTGTAAAATATATTTCCAAAAATTGCTATTTAAAACAATAGATGTAAATATCCTATATCTTCTCTTGAGATTATGAAATCTAATTACCAAATCTAGGGAGACATTATTATTCAATCCATTGTTCCTAGTGGATTGAAACAACTGCCCAGGAACTCCTAATTACTGTGTGGTAACAGACATTAAAATTAGAAACATGGGAAGAACCATTTCAGAGGGAAAGATGTTGGATTTAGTTATGAGCACAATCCTGTGATACTAAAGCAAATTGGTCAAAAATCCACAGCTGCAATAGCTACCTCTGGGAAATGAGAAGCAAAGGAAAAAGCAATCTCTTAACAAGAAGAGGTCTCTCTGCTGCCCTTTGCCAACAGGGATCCTGCATTGACCTGGCCACATGCCCATTTAATAATCCCACAATTCAATAGGGAAACTGCAGCATTGGCAGCATGTGTACCAAGGGACTGCTGAGTCATTCTCTGTGCAGAAAGCACAAGGCTATGGATTTTTACATTTAGATTTTCACTCTGGTTAGGCACAGGATCCTGCTATCCTAATTTTGGAAAAATCTCATTATATAACACATTGTTGCATGATTTTCTCATTAAAACTTAATTAAAAACAATTCTCAACATTGGTATGTGCTCATAGGCATCATTTGAAAAATCTGACTGATGTTAATATCTATTGCACTTGCATTGAAAATAAGATCCCAAAGAGATGTTTAGGTTATGAATATTAAAATGTGACCCGAGTGGAAATAGGCTAAATAGAGGAACTCAAGAAAAGGGTTATTATTCTCCTGTGAGTGTTGCATGATTACAACACCCTGCATCCATTTCAGAGGGACTGAGTCTGCAGCTGACAATTCAAAGAAGCAATAACAACAGAAAACTCAACAATGACAAAACAAAGATTCTCAACCATCTGCCAATAACCTCTGTTGCTCCTTGGATACCACTAGCTTTTAGTTCTTAGATTTCATAAATACATAGCAACAGTATAAGTATTACGTTATTTCATTTCCTGCATATTCATTTTATATTCATTTCATACTGTATGCCAAACATATCTACGTTATTTTACACATTGAAAAGCTTTAAATAAACTGAAGGGAACAGGATAATTACCATGAAATAAAAAGAATCAGATAAAAAGAGAAGAATACAGAGAAGGGGACAGACAAAGGGGGAGGAGGCTGCAACATCATACGATGAAAAAAACAGTCCACATCTTAGGATGCTGAATGGTGCAGTGCAGGCTATATCAAAATAAAAGCTCTCACAGTAATGCTCATTGTCTCATCTCTTTATTCCCCCAAAACCTATGAATAAAAACAAAGGGAGAAAAGAGAATTTTTGAAAAAGATCCTAGCATGTTAATATAATTGCTTGCATGGAACCAAATATAGATTTCAATCAAGAGAAAATATTTATCTTTATGTTTTCTCCTTTCAGCAGATGATGCTGTCAGCTCATCCTAAAACATAAAGAGAAATTAAATGAATCATGTTGCTTAGCTTGCCTGCTCCCCCATCCTAGCCTCTTTTATTCCCAGCAGGTGCGTTTATTTTTCTTTTCATAAAGGCTCAATCCTACCTCAGCACTTGAGCTCCTATTTCAAAAGATCTCTGACTCAGCTTCAGATCACTCCTGCTGCTGCTGCCTTACTCTATTGTTAGTGAGCTTCACTTCCTGTCTTTCTTACCTCTGCCTTTTTAGGGCTGCATCTGTCTCACAGGGCTGGATTCTTATATGCTACAGCCCAATCTCTTGAAAGCTGTTAATCCCAATGGGTTCTAGTCCTGGCAGATTCTAGTCCTTCAGAGTACTTGGGGTCCTTTCTACCACACCCTTTTTTTCTCTGAGATTGTTACATAATGTTTAGAGTCGACCCTGGGAATCTACCTATGTTTAAAGCTTCTCAAGTGATTATGATTTGCATAAATGTTTTGGAAACTGTCTTTAGGTATCCCTAGGTAGCTCAGCTATCTTTAGCTGGGTCTCTGACACTTCCAGAGCAATTTATGCCCATTTATCATGTTCAATCTACCTAACTTGTACTGCTTTGCCATCTCAACATTAATTTGGACCTTGCTTTACCACTGGCTTTATACCTTCTGTATAAAACTTCTGGACTCAAACCTGACTTATTGGTATAGACACTTTTTCTCAATGCATGGTCCCTGGAATAGCTGCATCAGGTATCATGAGGTGAGATGGTAGTTCTTGCTATTAATAAAATGCAGACTCTTGAAGCCCACCACAGGTCTACTGAATCTGAATCTCTTGAGATGAAGCTTAGTGATTTGCATTTTAAACAAACACCAAAGGTATGTTGAAGAACCACTAGGTTTGTCTTACATGGCTCAGTAGAACAAGGATTATATACTTAAAAGATCTGGAAACAAGTACGTTTTTTCTGTTATCTTGGATGGTTGCTTCACTTTCCTGTTTCTTATCTCAAAAAAAGAATGATGATGATAATACCATACAGCTCACAGGATGGCTGATGTCCATTTTAGTCTGGACAATTTAAATGGATCCAGCTCATCGATAAAAATGCAACAAGAAAAAAACTACAACAAAAAACTGTCTAATGGAGATCAATATCCCTCAATCTTTAGTTTCCATACCACTAGCATTTACCTCTCGGACCAATCTCCCCCTCAATCACTGCACTCCACCCACACTGGCTTCCTTGCTTTGCTCAAATACCCAAGAACACTATAATTTCAAAACATCTGCATATGCCTCTCAATGTGGAATTGGCTTGGAAGAGTTTACTTAAAGATGTCATTCAGTCCATCTCTTCATTCAACTCTTTGTTCAAATGTTACCTCTTAAAAGGGCCATTCCGAGAACTCAGATATAAAACCATCCTCATATAGCCAACTAATCTGCAACAAAGCAGACAAAAACATACACTGGGGAAAAGAATCCTTATTCAATAAATGGTGCTGGGAAAACTGGATAGCCACATGTAGAAGACTGAAACAAGACCCACATCTTTCACCTGTCACAAAAATCAACTCACGCTGGGTAACAGACTTGAACCTTAGGTGTGAAACTATTAGAATTCTATAGGAAAGTGTTGGAAATACTCTTCTAGACATTGGCCTAGGCAAAGAATTTATGAAGAAGACCCCAAAGGCAATCATAGCAGCAACAAAAATAAATAAATGTGACCTGATCAAATTAAAAAGCTTCTGCACAGCCAAAGAAACTGTCAAGAGAGCAAACAGACAACCCATACAATGGGAGAAAATTTTCACAAGCTACATATCCGATAAAGGGCTGATAACTAGTATCTATTTAGAACTCAGGAAAATCAGCAAGAACAAATCAAACAACCCTATCAAAAAGTGGGCAAAGGACATGAACAGAAACTTCTCAAAAGAAGACAGAATAATGGTCAACAAACATATGAAAAAATGCTCAACATCTCTAATCATCAGGGAAATGCAAATCAAAACCACAATGAGATATCACTTAACTCCAGTGAGAATGGCCTTTATCAAAAGTTCCCAAACAATAAATGCTGCGTGGAATGGGAGTCTATTCAGCTAAAGAAAGCAATGGTGATTACACTTCTTGTATTTTCTGATAGAGCTGGACCTTCTACTAAGTGAAGTAATCTCAAGAATGGAAAACAAGCACCACATGTACTCACCAGCAAATTGGTATTAACGATCAACACCTAAGTGGTCATATAGAATAACATTTACGGGTTTTGGGCAGGTGGGGGGGTAGGGGATGGGTATATGCAACATAATGAGTAGATGTGCAACGTTGGGGATGGTCACGCTTGAGGCTCTGACTCGAGGGGGGAGAGAGGGCATGGGCAATATACGTAACCTTAACATTTGTATCCCATAATATGCTAAAAGAAAAAAAAAGAAAATCAATAAACCCAAGCCAACTGCCAAAAATTAAAAATAAATAAAATAGCGCACTCCTTTCATTCTATACTCCCTTATCTGTGTTATTTCTCTTTACAACATCTACCACTGTCACATTTTTTTAATATAAATGTGTATTCACTTTTTATTCCATTTCACCAACTAATATTAATTTCATGAGTTCAAGGGCATTGAATGTTGGTTCTTTGCATAGAACTTGAACCATGCCTGGGCCATAGTAGATGCTTAATAAAAATTGATAACAGCAACTAATAAGAGCTATCAAAGTTTTAAAGTTATTTGCTCACCATTATCTTTTTCAACTATTTAAATTAAAATAAAAGCATCAGTGCATGAATAAACATAAACTAACTAATGGAAAAATAGAAAGAGAAGATATCTGTAACACATATAACTGACAAAGCAATATAATCAATCAAAAAAAAAAAAAACAAAACACTATAAAGCAAACACCCATAAAAAATGATAAAAATTCACAAAAAGGAAACCAGATTGTCAATACGTGCCTAAAAGATTATAACCTTCTAGAATCAGGAAATGAAAGGACATATGTCAGTTTACAATCAAGATTGGTAAATTATAAAAGATACAACACGAAGTGTTCATTACTATGTAGAAAAAGTGGACTCTTGTACATTGTTGATAATTATGACTGTTAAGACAGTTTGGAGGACTATTTAGCTATATTATCAGAGATAAAAAATGTAATAACTAATGACCTTGCAAGTCCTTCTTCTAAGCTTTATATTCTAGATTTATATTTCAGCTTTATATTCTAGATTTATATACTTTATATAAGTATATTATAATACTTTAATATTCATATTTATATACTTTATATTCTATATTTATATACTTCTAGCTTTATATTCTATATTTCATCCATCTGTTCAAGGACATATAGATAAGGGTTTTCATTAAAACACTTTAAAACAAAATTTCTTTTTTTTTTTTTGAGACAGAGTCTCACTTTGTTGCCCAGGCTAGAGTGAGTGCCATGGCATCAGCCTAGCTCACAGCAACCTCAAACTCCTGGCTCAAGAATCCTACTGCCTCAGCCTCCCGAGTAGCTGGGCTACAGGTATGCGCCCCATGCCCGGCCAATTTTTCTATATATTAGTTGGCCATTAATTTCTTTCTATTTATAGTAGAGACGGGGTCTTGCTCTTGCTCAGGCTGTTTCGAACTCCTGACCTCGAGCATCCGCCGCCTCGGCCTCCCAGAATGCTAGGATTACAGGCATGAGCTACTACGCCTGGCCTAAAACACTTTTTAAATTTTTAATGGAAAAATTGAATTGTCTATTAATAGGAAAATGGATAAATAAATTATGGTATATTCACGCAATGATGCAATGGAATATTGTTTATTAGTTACGATTCCAAAGTGGTCTGACTTTACCAACAGGGAAATATTTTTAAAACATAACATTGAATGAATAAAGTGAGTTTCAAAAGGATATGCACAGTATGAAACCATTTATGTAAATTTTAAAAACACAAAACAATACTTTGTGTCAATTATAAACATACTTATGTAGTAAAAGTATGAAAACACAGAAAGGATGCAAATCAACTTCAAGATGGTAATTACTGGGCAGAGGAAGGGAGGGGAATAGTTTGGGGAGTGCTATTAATCTTTGGTGAAACGTTATTAATACCTCTTTTTATAAAAATTCGATATTAATATGGCAAATTATTAACATTTGTTAAAACTAAGTGGTTGAGCATATAGAGTAATCTATTGTTATCTTTATTTTCTTACTTTTGAAGTGTGTTTTTTCCAAAATTAAAAAATAACAGGAGGAAACATACAAAACCTGTCATATCTTTGAGGGGTGGGATATGCTTTTCTTTATCTCTTCTATTTCTATATATGTTTTTATTCTTAACAAATTTTCCACACTGACCCTGTAGATTACACTTATCATTAGGGAAAGCTAAGTAAAAAAACAGGGTAAAATGCACAAGGAATTTTAATGAACACAGAGATTTCTGCCCATTTATCTTAAGTTTTTAATGTATTTGTCCTTCCTGATAGTCTAAGTAAATGAAACTAATTTTAAAAGAGCAGCATGGAACACAAGCAAGACACACCGGTGTATATTACAGGTGATAGCCATGTAACCAAGGAAATATTCCAAATTTGCATTCATTAACCAGGAGAAAAACATTTACCCAGACCTATGCATTCCGCTCTTCATTCAAGAAAGGCTATCATTTCTGACCAATATAATGTGCCATAAACCTTGTTCTTCACCATTCCCTCACCACAGACATGCAAGATTCACTTTAAAATGATTCCATTTTAAAGTTTTAGACATATTTTTAAATAATTTCCCCTATTTTACATCGCATTCATCTATCAGACTCTAGGATGCTCTTCCATCAATCTTCATTGACCTGAGCATCTCATAGTCCTCACAACAACTTCTCCTCCTTACCTATACTGTCATAGATTTCAAAGGGTATAAAGATGATACCTTGTATCCTCAACTTTATCTCACCCATTTTAATCAGCCACTCAATAATGTGGCCATATAATCTCTCTCCTTATAACTGAGTACTTCTCTGCTTTCAAAATTCATTCCATTCTCAAGAGTAAATCAATTTGGTTTCTATCTATCCTCATAGTAACCTACAGTTAATTGGCTCCTCCCACTTTACCCAGCCTATCACTCCAATTCACCAGCAAATGGTTGTGATGACTTGGGACAAGTGAAACTACCTTCTGCTCCTAATTATCTTACC